TGGGCCTCCAAGACAAAGCCTGTTTTTGTTGAGATAGCCAAGTGGTTGAGGCCCGAACGTTGTCTTGGGAAGGCTCATGGTTCGAACCCAACTCCCGTATCTCTTTTGCTCCTATGTAGGCTTGGGAACCGTGTCACTAGCTTAGCCTTCGTGCTTCCTTCGGTTGGCACAGAAGCTAGACATTGAAAGTGTGTTAGAGCTGAACATTCATTATTAATTGGTAACTCGCTCCATCTCTATTCCAGAACCTGTCTGTTTCATAGCTATCTGGAGGTGTAGGTAAGATGTCATCAACCAGTTCTTGTGGACTGATATTCCATTATTCCATCCCTATCTTCGTGGTCGTATACCGGTTGGGGGTCCACTGTTTATGAACACCGTATTTTGATGAAGGCAGTGGATGAATAGCAGTGTAGAAACTGGATTGATTCACAGATCGAATTTCGGCATTCACATACGGAAAGATCCATTCATCCTGCCTGCTTTACCTTCCAAAACGGCAGCGCGTGAACGCTCTGTCTAGGAGAATAACGCCAAGGATACAAGGCTACCGAAGGAGAAGAAAAAGGCCGGCCATAAAATTCTTTTCGCCTTTGCAGAAACCGAGTGCTTCTATGAGACGTGGTTTCAAGAGGGAATAGGCCCGGTCGGAGAGTGGTCGCAATAGTGTGTGGTTTGATTACTCAGTGAGCTGGCAGATGACCTACTGGCGAACATACCCGCCAGTACTGCTGAGTTTAAGCAATTTATCCATTCACGTTTGTGGAGGTGGGAGAGTATCCGGTCACACATCCTACCATCCAACCTACATAGATATAACCCTACATCTGAGGAGGGCGATATTAGCGGTATTCCAATGACTTTAGCACACGTCAAGCTAAGCAATCTGCTTTTTGGCTCTGAAATCCCAGGGAAACGCAGCCAGTTGCAGTTTTGTATGCAGTCTGGGATGAAAAAGTGACTGATTCAGAGCTGTGGCATTTTAGCTTACGAAAAAATTGGTTAAAACTGCCCCATCAACAACTCAGAATATACTATTCGACACATAATCGACTTTCTTGGAGTCAGTAAACCCTAGATCCGCAGAACTGGGAAACCAGTGAGCAGCGCGTAGTTCACGAAAATCGTACGAACTGAATCTAGGATAGTAAGATGACTAGGCACGAGCGAGCACAACTTCAGTATGCTTTTGCAGTCCTCAGTGTTTTGTACATCGTGCACTTTTGTTTACTATCGGCAGTATGCACAAAGCACGTGACAGTAGATGAACCATCGACTCAAAAACTTCCAGTATCTATTTTCTTTCGTGTTTTTTCGCTAAACACAGTGTGTGTGAGGAGGGAATCCACAGTCACAGTTTTTCGAGATTGTGCCTCGGACGAAACGTCGTAATACTTTCTTGGTGATTCGCAATCCCATTGTGCTATTCTGCGCGATATCTTTGCGCTCTAGTAACCTAAATTCGGTACATAGTTTGAATCACCTCGGTCGTCCCACTTGATCACACTGTTCCCGCATATTACATGCTCGAACGTTTGCTTTGCTGTTTGGTTGCTGACACTCGGTTAGATATGCGGGATCTTGGAAGAAATCTGGAACAACGGACACTGCCGGTGCGAAATGGAGCAAATAGTACCGTAATCTTTTGAAAATTTCAACAAGCGATTTCAAGTAAGTCCTGGGAGCTTCAGGTTTCGCTGAATGAGAAAGTTCGGAAAAAACAGAGCGTATGTCAGAAAACTTCAGATCAATCAGCAGAGCCTGAGAGGAGTTATAGTTAATCGACTTTGGGTTCTGCGATCGGTGCACAGTGGACCTTATGTGGATTCAGCTTCCCACACTGCACAAATTGAACTTCAAGCTGCGAAAAATTTCGTGCAGAAATTCATTCCAGTCTGCTCCGTAAAACCCCAATTAAAAATTTGAACATGTCTTTTCTTCAGATCAGGCGGTTGATTAATAGGTAACCAAGATTTACGACAGTGAATTGTCTCAAATGTGCTTTCGAGCTGACGATTCACTTTTATCTTCATATTTGCAATTCGAGGAATTTTTGGAATTTCTAATGAAATGTAATTTGATGTAATGTCACGTAATATAATGTAATGTAATGCTGTTCTTCACGCCCGAGTCAGAGTGGCGCAAACAGAGAGGTGGCCAACCCTTGACTTGGCAGAGGAGTATGAAGGCGATCACGAAACTCTTGGGTGCTGTAGGCGCCACTCGCCTTCCAGGATGGGGGCCGCGCGATCCTCACTGTGCCGGGTTGGAGACAGTACAAGATATGCCTGCCAACCGATGTCAGTGGCGTTCTTGTTGTCAGTTTCTATCTAGATCGCCTGAGTGAGTGTCTGGAGGTATAGGCACCTCGGAATGATTGTGTTAAGCTAGCGCTAAGTCCCTTCCCTGTTCACTTTTACTCTTTTCTTTACGATAAGGCTTTGTTGTACGGCAATGAAGCCTCGATGTTGAACACTGATGTCATGCTGTCGATGATGATGATGATGATGGTGATGAATGTAATGTAGCGTGCGTTAATTGGTTATGTAATTTGTGATCGGGCGTGGAGTCATCATCATCCACGTTGTAAGCCCGACTCAAGGAAAAAGGCCTCATAGTATACACATGAAAGGCATTCCCAGCTCGTTTGCGATGATATGTTGCGTCTAGACAAAGCCATGAATTCCTTATCCAGCTGTTCCCAGAACAATCTTTTCATGATGAATAGCTCAGTGTTTTCTGAACTGATATCAGTTGGTGGAGTGCGAGTGCCTCTTGATGGAGACTTCACCGAGGAATCACACCTGATGAAGCCAACCACACTAAAAGAGACAATTTGTTTGCAAGGTGAATGGTTTAAACGCATATACAAACAAATTCTTAGAAATGACATGCGATTCAGGGGCTTTACGTGCCCACCATATACGTATTACTTCCTGTTCCCAAGTGATTCCTTTGTCCTTGGAAGAAACATACAATCCACAGAAGTATATATCATGAAAAAACGGAGGAATTACGAAAGTACTTCCTTCAGTTTCACTTGCATGGTACAAACAAACTGAATTGTAGGAGGGTCTAAACCGAAAAAAACAGATAACTTGGTAGCCTAATGGTGGTTTGATAACTTACCGAATCCGAAGCAAAATGCTGCGAATTGAGCGAAAGTTGGACGACTGGCGATCCGTTTTAGCGTCACCTGTAGTTTCAGAACGGTTTGAAAAAATGACAGGACAATAGTTGGCAGGGCACCTTTTGCTTATAATTGTTTGCTCCATGTAGTGGACACAATCATGGGTGTCGATCGATATATTCGGGAATATTTCTCACAACTAGTGTCGTTTTTGGAAGAAATAATTGAATCGGTCTCCATGTAGCTCTCTTTGGTGAGCCCACACCAATGGAAGAAGCACTGGACTCGAGTTTCCCTCATTAGGGTCAGGAGCAGCGGCAGCAGCGCATTTCTTTGGCGGAGCCGGGGTCTGAACTCAGGACACGTGACATGCGAGGCGAGCGTGTTACCACTACTACACCAGCGCAGGATGGACGCATCTTAATTTTCACGTCTGAATAGGTGAAGGTGTATTAACGTGGATCACTGCTCCGACGCTGACCCAGTGATTATCGATCACCAGTGCCTCCTCGCTTTAGTATGGACTCATTAGATTAATCGATCCAGGATAGGAGCATGGCCGTTAGGTGAACCTGAATTCTACCAATCAATTCAACGCCTACAACAGTAATGGATATCATCGGATCTCTAAAAAAACACAGTGCACAAGGTGTTAACATTCCTTTTACTTTCATTAGCCGTGCATGTAAAAGACACATTTATAGATTAGGAAAACACATTCAGAAGGAAGAGATTTGTTCGAGGGTTAGGGTTAGTTGTTTCCAGTTTGTTAGTTTTAAACTGCCCGTCCTAATTTGGTCAGTAGTGCTGGCAGCATTCCGAGGGTTTGCTCACGCGTACGAACAGCGAGTGACGAGCTGGTGCCAACTGGCTGTCAGTAAATGTTTTACAGTCACTGGGTTTCGAGTTGCATACTGACAACTGGCTATCTGTTGTTAAGTCAGAAGCACCGTATATTCGGGAACGTATTCAACGGGTTCACCAAAAAAGCAGGTGAACTGACAGACAAAACAGATACAGAAAGGTAACTTTCTCGAGGTTGGTTAGTTCGGAGTCTCACCGTAAAGGTGAACTGAACTGGTCTTGGTTGAATGATCGGGAAAGTGCGATCTAGAGTGACTCTGAGCGTCGGTTTAATTCCTCGCTTGAATGGTAGTCTCAGCAAGAAATTTTATTTTCGTCAGTAGCGCTAGTCTCGGCCCCAGCTTTGTGTAAGCTGTGTTCGCGTAAGGACTCGTCTACACTGTTTCTTCTTATCAGAAGGAGACTTTACGAAGCACATCACCTGAGACGTCTACCCGTGACGCTTACCACTGAACCGTAATAAACAACGATTAATATCCTCCAATATTCCCATATGGTATATCGTAAAACAGCCCAATATTTATTGGCTGAATTACCGCGGCTTGGCCTGTGATATGACAGACTAATTTTACGGAATGACTCTGCAGTGTGGACTGAAGAAATACAGTGTGGAAAAATGAGGATATCTATATTTTGTGTTTTTCGTTCACTGCGGTATTATACTTCGAAGCCGGCCAGTTGGAACCGAGGATTTTTTCCTTTTCAATCATATTACAGAAGGATAAAAACCGAAGCAAATTAGGCTTGTCAAATTATCTGCGTGGCAAGCTTTGCCTGACGGGAGTAGGAGCAAACTGGAAGAGGAATTGAGAAGGGTTTCGTTTTCTGGTCCCGCGGATACGAAAATGTCTGCTCATGCGACACAAAAATAAAAGACAGCTCCTAGCTTTACACTCGGAACACTCCAAACAACTAGAAGGTTTGGCCAACAAGTCTACGATGGTACGCGGTGATTCATGATGGAACCTTCCAAAACAGAGGCATTTCATAACCGAATTCAGTGGTTAAAACAAAGCAGATGACAAAACAAACCGCTGAAATGACAAGTACGGACAACTGACATTGAATAGTGCGAATGCAACGACCGCCACACTCGATAAGCATTTGTACCACATAGAGTATTGATCACTGTATATGTTGAAAATCACGCCACTGGATGCGAGAATGAAGGCGATTACCTAAAACAAAAAGAAAGTAGACCGGGTGAGCAGACGACAGAAGCGGACACAGAAATGTCAGCCTACACGAATGTGTACTATCTCATTAATTAAAGAAGGCTTGCAGCGTGGCCAAAAAGATATTTCGATGAATAACTCCGTGCAGAATTTCCTACAAAATGAGCGAAATTCAATTTTCAGCCATACAACGCACAGCAACTCCGACAGGACAGTCAAACAAGCATGATGCACAACCAGAAAAGTACATCTTCAAAACGATGTGCAGTTTGAAGTTCACAGGTTCGATCACTATCACTCCAATTTTGCAGCGCTTGAGTGCACGTTTGGATCAGGTTTCAGATAAATGATAATCTGGAGTCGAATTAATCACTCGAGTAGCCGGTTAATACGTGATACGGTTGTGCGTTGTACCATGACCGGTCTATAAAGGAGCTAAACACTCCGTTGCTGGTGGACGGTTTAGGCTTCGAAACTCCGTGATTTTAGTGAGTTGCGCACTGCCGGTGACTTCCAGAATGGATGAAACGTCTGGACGGTGCTTCTTGGCTTTTCAGCATCGATTGGTTTTACTGATTACTACCAAATTTGATCCCATCACGAGTTCTAAGTGCCATATATTCTTGTTATCGCAGAGCTTTAACCCGACGGTGTGATCCCAGTTTCTGTTGCTTTCATCATACATGTAAGCTTAAAATTCTAAATCGGAACTGAATTGTACGTATGCGATCAAAGAGACGAAGGATGTTTGATGGGACTGGAACTCCTGACAGAGATACAAAGAGCGTGAAAAGTGTTATCCAGATTCAATGGACGTACTCTCAATGCACAAAACCGTCTATGCACGATGATCCAACTGAACAGGTAGTGAAAGCACGGCAGAACAGCCATTATCGCGGCACAGTCGATTGGCGATACCACTTCCATGCTTCGGAGGAAACAGTTTAGAAACAGTTGCCAGAGAATTGACAGGAGAATACAGCGAGTGAGAACTTTCACAATGGTTGGTTGATCACTGGCGAGGATGACCATGTGGTTTCTAGATGAAAACACAATTGACTCATAGTTTTGCCTTGTATATTGATATGGTTGCAAACAATACGTTTAGCAATTCAGTAAACAGTGTAAGGAAGTGTAAGAAGAAAGTTCGGGCGTATTATTACAAACTAGGCTTGTCTACTGAACAAGCGATAGGAATCGCGAACTGCTGTTGTATGCCATTCGCAACAGTAAACAGTGTAACGGAAGAAAGTTCGGGCGTATTATTGCAAACTAGGCTTGTTTACTGAACAAGCGATAGGGATCGCGAACTGCTGTTGTATGCCATTCGCAGCTGGAAACTTGACATTATTTTTGGGACTTTTAGAACATTACGCGGTTGGGATTTTGAGTAATGCTCAAAATGCGTGGGCAAGTTGTTCTACGATCGATCCTTTGCAAGAGGACCAAACAAACCTGGATTCTTCCGGAAGTTGGTCTGCGCAAGGATGACACCGCAAAGTCAATAAAATTTCAACCACCAATCAGAAACGATCTGATCGTAGGTATTCACGAAGAGCTCATCTGTATTCAGCCAGGTTACCCTAATTCACCATCGGAGTTGAATATGACCGGGAGGGGTGAATGCATCTGATATACAACTGTTCTGAACTGAAAGCCATATTTGGAGCATAGAGATATCACATAATGATTGAGATAACCGAAGCTCAATTATATGGGTTATCACCCTCTCCAAAACTTGCTGGGATGTCTGTCAGCCCAAGGACTACAAACCTCGCCAGTATGAATGTGGAATAAATTAGACCGATAAGGGTAGATACACTGAAATGCAAAAGCAAAACCAGCGGACTCACATTAGTAGCTCGTTTGAGGAAGCCTTTTCAAAACGCAGGATCACGTTGCAAATGAGGTAGATTGGATACAAAACTAGAGTCCACGATGTGGCGAATTGGGTGAGGAATGAAGGTGGGCGCACTGAATACTGTTGCGATGTCTGACGAGGAGCACGAGAACGTAAAATATAAAAACACAAGAATCAATTATAGACAAATACCTGGATTGCCTTTGCAAAACATGTAAGTAGCTCAGTCTCTCTAGTGGCGATGTTAATGCACTCAAATCACAAATCATCCATGGTGGCAGTGAAAAAACTCGAAATGAATACCGGGGTGTCATTCCAACGATTTCTGTGAAATGATGGTACCATAACAGGATTAGGAAATATCTTGAACAAATAGTGCAAGTGAAACTCGAGTTTGGTGCTTCCCCTTTGGTGTGGACTTACCGGAATAATCACGCCGGAACAGAAGGACGACCGTTCAAAACGAGAGTGGTGTGGCTATGAACAATATAGCTATCCCGCGAAACCCCAAAAGTGAAAACTAATCTATCGCCCCTTATAAACGAGACAACGCGAGAAGCCCGGACACATTGATTTTTGTTTTCAAGGTCAAAACCACGCATCAGCCAGGCGGTTCGTACAGACGGCGCATCTGGCTGAGACACAATGAGCTTCATAAATAATCGGACTGCCAATAAATACGGTATCCCAGTATTCATGCCTCGTCCGAACATTGCAAATGCCTTAAAAGAGACGCTTAGTCGAAAGAGATTACCAGCCGGATAATTTTAGAACTGAATTGATATCGACACGCTTTGAACGAAGAGGTAAACCGGTGCTGCATACCATGAACTCTTCGAAATTTCCACCTGTGTGGAAATGTGATCACATTGGTTACAGTGTGTTAGTGCTGTGGTTATTGTTTGATGCCTGCCGATTTGACGTTCCTTTTTTTTACCTTGAAGCTTTAACGCATAATTGGTGCGTTTTTTCCGAACCAAGCAACAAGTGAGTCAGTAGTGCGATGATTGCGATGGGAATGCATGCAAACTGCTCACGTTAACTGACAGTATGCTGCCCAAGGGCTCACTGAAATGGAGTAGCAAGCCAAAGAACAGTATTTCTATAGTGTGACTGTGCATTGGAGGTGCTCGTCTAGTCAAGAAAATACATCGTTGGACGACAAAGTTCAGTAAATATCGGTGTTCCCTCAGTCATGACGCCTGATTGCAGCGATACATTGATTGGGACACCCAGTGTTTGCCCAAAGCTTTCTAGTAGAATCCGTGTCGGGAACGTGCCATCGAAGCCACAAGAAACACCGAAAAAGTGCAGTTCCGGGTGTTGGACACGATGAAACAAAGTAGAGGAGACATTCATCAATGTCCATATATTAAGATAGCCTAACTCCTGTCCCGCGGGGCTTTGAAAGACCGTCTGTCAACTAACAACGTGAACAGCTGAGCCGCACTCATGCGGCCTTTGTTGTTAGCTGCATATGAGAGCGAGAAGGTCTTCACTACGGAGCTCTTTATTAAAAAAACCAACTGAACAGTTACAGAATATTGGACAGGGAAGCAAAACTCTCATATACATCTTGTTTACAAAAGAACTGAATATCCATCTTCCCTTGAACGCATCTTCCTGACTGCTACTCAAATACAAAGAAATGCGACTCCACAGATTCTGCAAGAGACGCGGAGGGAATTTAAGAGAAAACATACTACTGGTATGCCCCATCAGTAGTATCTACCGTTACACTTGTGTGGAATCTTTTGCCAGTGAAGCCGCTTTGCATGAAACGGGGTAAAGACCAAGCAACCAAGTTTTGGGGGTGCACTGAAGGCAAGGAATGATTTTTTTTCTTTGGGAGTTTTGCTGAAACCAAGCACCCATTTCATCCCTGATTTACGATATCAGTCGTGTTCGCTCGCACAGGAAAATTGGTCAGTTATTCTAGTGGTTATTTTGGCTATTAATTTAGTGTATTGGACCAAAAATTCAAAAATTATGTCAGGCAATCAGACATAGATTTTGCGAAAACACTGTTTAAAAAACAGTTAGGTAAGCTTAGACGTAATGCACTACTCACAATGCTGTGGAATGTAGATAGTTCGGGTGCGCTGTTTGGTTATTGGTCTGTTCGCCGTGATTGCAAACTTTTCATCGCCAATCGAGGTGACATCGTCAGTGACATCGTTATTCAACCCTCCACTGACGATGTCATCTCGATTGGTGATGAAACGTTTGCAATCCAACTGGCAATCTCGGCGAACAGACCAATAACCAAGCACTCACAAGGTTGCTGAAGACCCTTAGGCAGCCAATATCCAGTTTTGCCCTTCTTGGGGTTCATCAGGTAGACACAGCCCTACTTTAACCCCAGTGGCACAAAACTGGCTAAATTAGCTCATTTACAAACTAATTTGGTTTTGCGGGGATTCACCTAGTACTCAGCTAAATATTTCATTCATCAAAAACCTGAGATTCAGCTGGGTTCCAGGTGAGTCTCCCGCAAAATCGAATTGGTTTGCAAATACGAGT